CACACACACACACACACACACTCTCTCTCTCTCTCTCACACACACACACACAAACTTGTGTGAAACCGAGGTAAAACTGAGGTAAACTTTGTCGTGTGTTAGGTGAGTTTCGGACAGTCAGACTTTATTTATGTCACATTTATGAAACATCGTTAATATCAATCAAATCGATCGTTTATAAGGCGCTCCGGCGCGCGGATGTGATGATGATGATGATGATGATGATGATTGACATGACTGTGATGTTTGTGCTGAATTATCAGCTGCTCTCGGCTCGGTGTTCCCTGAATCACGGGGAGAGCTGAATCACGGTGAGAGTCCCGGGCCGCTGCTCTTCCTCCTCTTCCTCCTCCGGCCGCGCTGCGCTCTTCCTCCTCTTCCTCCTCTTAAAACGGAACGCACTCGTTTAGCGCTCGCGCACGTCACTCGCTCGCCGAAAGCGTTTATGTGAGATTCAGATGATCATTCGCTGATAAAGCAAGAAATATTTCCATGAACTCCATATGCAGAAGGATGAAACTGTTACCAACTGAACAGAAACATTCTTGCCTCTGAAAATGCATGAAGGCAAGTTTATTGATATACGTAACATACAATTAAATTGACAGTTAAAAATTCATAAAAAGGCTCAAAGAAATAAATAAGTAAATGGAATAAACTAATTGAATGAAAATAAAGGAACACATTAAAAGGAATATGGGAACAGCAGCAGAAGTGCCATTTATGACCTTCACGTGTTTATATCCCAACACTGCTCTAACTACACACCCATCTATATCCCAACACTGCTCTAACTACACACCCATCTATATCCCAACACTGCTCTAACTACACACCCATCTATATCCCAACACTGATTAGATGGTCAAAAGTGCTTGATAAACGAGCGATGGATGACTTCAGCTATGAGGAAAGTCTTTTCTGAGGTGGCGTGAGTTATTCATATTTAGTAACTGGAGTGACTGTAATGTGTGTGTGTGTGTGTGTGTGTGTGTGTGTCGCTCGTGTGTCACTCGGCGCATCGGACGTGTTTCGGGCTGAACCGTCTTCAGTTCGCTGCGGTTTGTTTTGATGTTTGGTGCCTGCTGATGCTGAAGCATCTGTGTTTGTTGTCGGTTGCCATGACGTTAGGATGCTGAAGCTGTTGCCGGGTGATGGAAGCTAACAAATCACATGCATACTGAGACGCAAGATAATCACATTTTCCTGAAGGGTGACACTCGGGCTTGTTTAAACATGACGTGGGCTGCTGGACGCTATGTAGATGTTTTGTCAGAGAGTTTTTAAGTTTACGTTGCTCGACTGCATTGCATTTGCATGAGCTGGCGGTAAACCACAGCTGCAGATCTCCGGCCTGATGGGAAGCGTGTCAGTGTGAATCATCACATTCTAGCGCTCTACTCAGAGTTTACTGACACTAGTGTTCATCGGGACACTTTAACCCTTCGCTGGCTGTGTCTACATGACTCTCACACACTGCAGTCAGTGTGGATCGTGATGCATTTATCATCACTGCTGCTTTCACTGATCTCAGTGGTGAACCAGTATATTCATATTTTGCACAAATTGAGCCTTTTTAAAGTGATAGTTCACCCAGAAATGATCATTCTGCCATCATTTGCTCACCCTCATGTCCTTGTAACCTGTTCTTTTTTATTCTATATTTTGAGAAATCTCAGGGATTTTTGTCCATGCGATGAAAGTCAATGGGGTCCAGTGTTGTTTGGTTCCCAATGTCTTTTGTGTCTGTCATACAGGTTTGAATGACACGAGGGCGAGTAAATGATGACTCAATAGTGATTTCTGAGTGAACGATCCATTTCAGAACCATTAAGATTATTTTGCATTATGAAACTCATTTTTAATTGTCCTTACTCCTAAAGTAGTCTTCATGTGCAGAATGTGGGCGTGTTTTTGAACCACAGAGACGTTATAATGAGACAGAAGCTCTGATTAGTCTGTGGCTTAGAAAATAATTTCATGCGCTGGTTTGTGAAAGTGCAGCATGTTTTGTGTCTCTGTTCAGTCAGCGATTCTAATTCAGAATCACATGTTCCTTCAGGAGCAGAAGGAGACACATCTTCCTCTCTATCTCTCTCTCTCACACACACACACACACACACACACACACACACACACACGCACACACACACACACACACACACACAGAGCTCTGTTCCAGTGAGCTGCCTACATAGGGAGTAACTGCCATACCTTTCCAAATCCTAGAATGCATTGCAACAAGCTCTATGAAAATTTTAAATAAATATCCAGTCTAGGGGTGGGCGATAGGGCAAAAATATCATGATGTTTTTCAGGAAAATCACGATTCACGATTTTATCACGATGTTGGTTTTACTATTTTGGAAGTTGTCTGAGCAGCACAGCCAAACTAATTTCCCTATTTTAAAAAACACAGCCTTACAAGATAACAAAATATAAAATAAAATAAAAAGGAATGGCAGATATTTAGGCCAAAGTTGGAAAAGATAAAAATCTTTATCATTATTTTATCTTTGTTATTAAAAAATAACAACAAAGATACACATTATAATACACATAATATACAAATAAAACAAACAGTGCTTTATTTTTCAGGTACAGTAGGTGTATTTAGCAGTAGCATTCAAGACACTGAATCAACAAATATAAAAATAAAAACTATATACACTTCACTGTATAAATTATACAGTGATTCTTATTAAAGCAACTGTTCGAAAGTTCTTCAGTCAAGAGCAGTGAGTGATTTTTCTCTGTTTTGTTGTTTTATTAACATTAAAGGGACAGTTCACACAAAAATAAAAATTCTGTCATCATTGACTCACTCTCAAGTTGTTTTAAACCTGAATGAGTTTCTTTCTTCTGTTGAACACAAAAGTTATTTTGAAGAATCAAGCGGCAGCATGTTTAGTATTATTAGTCTGCTGTCACTTTAAGACCTGCACACATCTAATATCCAGGCACGCATCTGTTTTTCTCTCAACTGTTTACTTTCACTTTAGACATAACCAACTGTGTTTATGTGTAAAGCTTGTGTGTTTTTGACAGTATTAGCGCAATCAGATGTGAAAGATGACTCAGTCCAGTAATCAGGCGGTGTTTGACAGGATTTGTAGTGTGCGCACGCTTCAGGTGTACGCACTCAGAAAAAGCACATGACAGAACAGCACGCCAATGAAATGCAAATAATGTAGTTTTGTGATTGAGAATAAGTGCAGCGTCCCGTGAGTGTAACTCTACCACTGAGTAACATTTGATGTGAATGTATGTGACGTTGTACAGTATATTGAGAGAGAGACGGCAGAACTGCAGCTGATAGAATATGCACTGTAGCGCAATACTACCATATTTCATCAAAAGCAGATCGTGGAGACATTTTAATCATCCACGATCAAAAATCGTCATTATGCTCATTAGAGTATCACGTCATGAGTTTAACGCCATGCACTGAATCAAGTGTTATTTAAATGAGTCGGGAATGAGGTTCTGCTTCGGTGAAGATGATGCTTTAGTAGGGAGCTCACTAGAGTTGGGACAGACCCCGTGATGACCTCTGTGTTTCCAGATATGCGTAGAGTCAGTGTCTCTGCAGGGCTCACGCTCGCGTCAGGCCACAGGAAGTGTCTGCGCAGGGTGTATTTATAGCGTCTGATGTAATGACCTCTCCTACAGCGCTCCTCTAAACGCTGAGCGTGACCTACGTGCCTGTCCGTCCGTGTGTGTGTGTGTGTGTGTGTGTGTGTGAGAGAGAGAGAGTGTGTGGTGTTTGTGAGTGAGTGTGTTTGAGAGTGTGTGTGTGTGTGTGTGTGTATGTGTGCGTGTGCGTGTGTGTGTGCGTGTGTGTGTGTGTGAGTGTCTGTGTGTGTGAGTGTGTGTGTGAAAGTGTGTGAGTGTGTGTGATTGTGAGTGTGTGAGCTCTGTGTCGGTGCAGCGGATGTGGTGTTCTTGAGCTCACTGATTTGAGGGGCTTATGTCGTTCACGGCACACATCAGTGCAGGAAACCCTGGCCGTCATGTTCTCAGGTCACAGTAAACCACTGACATTTGCAGCGCTTTGCAGTTTATCCCATTATCACAGGCTTGTGTGTGTGTGTGTGTGTGCCGTGCAGCTCAAACACGCTGGAGAAACATCTGATGGAGCATTTGATGGATCAGATCGAGGTTCGGTTCAGCAAGTAGGAACAGATTTACTGGATTCATTAGGCAGCTGATTTCTACATCAGACTGCAGCAGAAGATGAAACGATCTTTTGGTCACATGACAGTTTGATCAACACTAGAGTTCAAAGGTTTTGGGTCCGTAGATATTTAAATGTTTTTAAAAGTCTCTTCTGCTCACGAAGGCTGCATTTATTTGATCATAAATACAGTAAAAATAGTTAAATATTATTAGAACTTAAAATAGCAGTTTTCTATGTGAATATCTGTTAAACTGTAATATATTTCTGTGATGCGCAGCTGTATTTTCAGCATCATTACTCCAGTCTTCAGTGTCACATGATCTTCAGAAATCATTCTAATATGCTGCTAATATTTGCTGCTCAAGAAACATTTCTAAATTATCAGTGTTGTGGAAACTGAGATGCATTTCAGGATTCACAGATGATTAGAAAGTTCAAAAGAACAGCAATTATTTGAAATCTTCTGTAACATTATACATGTCTTTACTGTCACTTTTATACAGTTGAATGCATCCTTGATAAATAAGACTATTAATTTCTTTCAAAAAACAACTTTTGAATGTTACATAATGACGTGACGGCCTGACTTCCTGTGCTCTGATTGGATGAATCTCCAGATCAGAATATTCTCCTGTAGTTTGAGTGAACAGGTTCATCACTGGTTTGTCCAGTTAGTTGTTCTGGGCTTCATGGTTTGTTTGGTGTGTTTAATGATTGTGCTTCAGTGAAACAGTCAGTCAGTGTGTGTTTCTGTCAGTTAATTGTTTGATTGCTGGTAATTAGTTATGTGAGACTGCTGGTCTGTCCTGCACACACAGTCAGGCCGCTCAACCATGTGTGTGTGTGTGTGTGTGTGTGTGTGTGTGTGTGTGTGTGTGTGTGTGTGTGTGTGTGAGTGTGTGAGTGAGTGTGTGTGTGTGTCAGCCGCCAGGGACGTGTAACACAACACCGCGGCGCCATTTTATTGCCTGCAGACACCCGATCGGCCCACCGCGGTGGTCACCTGACCTCTGACGCTGCTCTGGGTTGGTCTGTTTCAGTTATTAAGTGAAGGAAAGTGTCAGGAATGAGTCAGTGCTGCTCTGGAACGCTGCGGTCAGTGTGATGATGAAGAGCCGTAACACCGATGAAGACCAGATCAATGTGAGGATGGACTCTAGATAGTCTGTAACGGGTGACGGTGGTTGGATCGCTTCTCGTGATCATCTTCAGATCCTGTCCAAACACACTCAGACCAGCGTTTGACGGACTTGAGCTGGATCTGATTGTTGAATTTTAATACAGTATTATTTTGATCAGCAATATCTGACACCACGTGACTTTAACCGTTGACGTTGTGTTTCTGGTTTACAGCCATGAGATTGCTGTTGCTATGGTTACCGCTGAGTTCAGGAGTCACTCCTGTATTCTGTACACACACACAATGGTAATCCAGATTGTGTTCAGCTTTAAAAAGTGATTGTTCCCAATAAAACTGTGGCCTAACTTCAGAAGAAGAACTGACCCTCACGTCTTTATTTCCTCTGTAGAGCACAAACGGTTTTGTGAAACAACTTTTTATCCACAAACAGATTTTTAAGAATCAGTTTTTAGATGCAGTTGAACAGTGAATGAGGACTGAGGCGTAAAACACCAGGAAGAGTGTGTTCTGGTGCTGCGGTGCTCTGAGATCTTCTCATCCAGCTGGTGAAAGTGTTTGAGAACTAGTGACAGTACTGCTTGACTTAACCAGCAGCACTAACTAGTGGTCTGCAGAACAGAGCGAGGTTCTCCTGTCATGATGCATCTCTACCCACAAAGGGTTAACTCTCGTCTCTCTGTCACACACTTACCGGTTCCAACCGGTTCTCAGGAAAGTGCGTCATGTGCCCCATAGAATCCTGGGAAGGGTCATGTGTGTCTCTGTGATGTCACCGGGTGGGAGAGAAAACAACTCGAGTCAGCTTTCCATTATCTGTGTACGTGTGTGTGTGTGTGTGTGTGTGTGTGTGTGTGTGTGTGTGTGTGTGTGTGTGTGTGTGTGTGTGTGTGAGCATGTGGCTCTTCCTGTCGTACAGGAAGTGTGCTGATGAGAGTGTGCCGTGGCTCTCCTGCAGGAACGAGCTCATGTTGTCTTTCTTTGTCGATGAAACTTCCTGTTGTGCATCACTGGCCCACTGACCTCTGGGAAATCAGACAGGGCTTCACTTTGAACTAAAATCAACACTGAACTGAATGATCTGAGTAATGACACTGTCTGTAGAGCTTCATGACTGATGGATTTTACATCATTTATTTTCCTGTTTATTACACACACACACACACATTATTAACCTGGTTATTGTAATCCTGTGTCACGCTAATTCTGGATTCAGGTTTTTAGATTTCACACTGTGCATTTCTTCTCATCTGCATATTTTTGAGGTTATTGCATGACCTGTTTCTCCACCTGGGCTCATTGGAGCATGTGACAGAAAACAGACTGATGTCACACTTCAGTATTATTAACCATTTATTGACTCATGAACGTTTCTGTGACTGTTCATGAATATTTAATGAGTCGAGCACTGAGGCAGCCTTTGATTGGTTATCTGTTCCTAAACCAGAGAAACCGAGACTTAAAATCAGTCAGTGCGTTAGTGTAAATTAGAATCTGAAGCTGATCCCAGATCAGACCGGTGTTCATGACGATGCACTTCCATAATGATGTGGTTTTTGTTTTGTGTGTTCAGGTGCGGTGATGTCTGAGGACACGGTGAGGCAGACGCGCAGTCAGAAGCGTGCTCTAGAGCGGGACTCTCAGGCCGCAGACGGTAAGCGGCTGAAGCTGGATGGCGTCGAGCGTTCCCGATCAGAGACAGCTGTGGCGGTCCAGGACTCCAGCATCCTGAAGGCCACCATCAAAGTAGAGCTGCAGACGGGAAACGAGCCCATGGACACGAGCAACACGTGAGGAGCCTTTACATGACAATAGCGTGTGTGTGTCTGTCTACAAAACATCAGCTTACTTCATATGAGTGACTTAGAAAGTGAAGGAAAACCACCATCAGATGACCAACATTCAGTGCGATACCTGCCTGTGAATATCTGTTAAACTGTAATTATTTCTGTGGTGCGCAGCTGTATTTTCAGCATCATTACTCCAGTCTTCAGTGTCACATGATCTTCAGAAATCAGTATAATATGCTGATTTACTGCTCAAGAAACATTTCTGATTATTATCAATGTTGAAAACAGTTCATATTTTTGTGGAAACTGTGATACATTTTATTTTTCAGGATTCACAGATGAATAGAAAGTTCAAAAGAACAGCATTTATTTGAAACAGAAATTGTTTGTCTTTAAAGTCTTTAAGTGAATAATCGTCACTGGTCAGGTGGGCATTTAGAGGATCAGGGAATCCTGTGAAATGTTTCCCACAATCCCATAGCTGTTATATGACTGTGGAGCGTCACATTTGATGATGTTGATGAATCAGCTTTAATAAGTGCAGCGATCATTCTGTGAGAGCAGCTGTGTGTGAAACAGGAAGTCAAGTGTGTGTGTGTGTGTGTGTGTGTGTGTGTGTGTGTGTGTGTGTGTGTGTGTGTGTGAGTGTGTGAGTGTGTCCTGTCCCTCAACCCAAAGCTCCCCCCGCCCAAAGTTTCTCCATTTTCTGGCAGCACCTGAACGCTCCTTCACTTCACAAAATGAAGGCCATGTGTCACTAACCGGTTCCAGCCGGCTGGTTGTCATGGTTTCCAGTAGGGGAGGGGGAGGGGTGGCACGTGACATCAGCAGAACATGCGGTGGGTCACGTGACACGTGTTTAGTTGGGTGATTAATGCACAGGAAGAGACTGATCTCACACAAAGACAGTCTCCTCTCTCTGGAGTCCAGAGCGTGTGTGTGTGTGTGTGTGTGTGTGTGAGAGTGTGTGAGTAAGAGTGTGTGTGGGTGTGTGTGTGTGTGTGTGTGTGTGAGTGTGAGTGTGCCTGTGTGCGTGTGTGTGTTTACAGGCCCGTTGAAGCCTTTCACAAACTCCTGCTCATCCTGTGAGATTCTGTTGTATCCCAGCATTACTAGCGCTCAGGTCTCATCGCTCACATGCTGCAGTTTGATGTTGACTGAGTTTGTCTCTGAACACACACTCCGCTGTCACTTTCCCTTTATACTCACCAGTGCAGATTCACAGATTCACCTCATCTAGATTTCTAATAAACATCAATATTGTTGTCTCTGTGATGAATTGTTTTTGTTCCTCTTTTGTAAGTCACTTTGGATAAAAGCATCTGCAAAATGTGTAGATGTAAATATGTGCAGTATGACTTTATGATCATTTACACCAGCGTTTCTCAAACTGATAAAAAGCTAATAATTAAATCATAAAAATGTACAATTAAAAAAATCTTAAAATAAAACCAGTCAACATAAATCATTTACTATAAGATCAAATATTTTTCACTGAGCACTATCAGAGAACCGTGAACATGTGCATGAACTTGAGAGCATATTTGAGTTTGTCTGATGAAGAAACGATTCAGAGAAACGGCTTCACTGCACTGAGGATGTTTGCTGGGCTTGTGATTCTGAGACACTCAAATGCAGATCTGAGGAGCTTCAGGGTTTCAGTCCATGTTCCTCAGACCCGATCAGAGAAACATACGGTGTGTTTGCTCTGCTCTCACTCATCATCACTGATGGATGTCCTGATGAAACTGTGCCTTCAATGAGTTAGTGCTGTTTACTAGTCACTCATCACTAGTCCTGCAGCTGCTAGTGCTGTTCTGAAAGCTGTTAGACTCCTCAGATCACGCGTGTGCTGTTATTTTCCCATCTGCCCTCTGCTGCGTGTCATGTGATCGCTGCTCCTCTGAGCTCACAGCTGATTGGATGATCTCCTATCTGTCCCCCTCTAGTGGACATCGATCTCATCGCTGACCAGCACAGAAACAAAACACTACTAGTTCAGACAGGAGTAATCAGGGCTTACCAATTCAGTCAGTTACTGATTACAAATTAATTGATAAAAATTATAGTTAATTTTGGACTATTTTTAGATTACGTTGACTTATATCATTTATTGCATAGATTGAAATAGGATCATTTTGTAAAATAGTCATTTCAGAGTAGGGTTGCAAAGGGGTGGAAAATTCCTGAAATTTTCCGAAAGTTTAAAAAAATCCAGAAAAGTTTCCAAAATTTTCCTGAAATTTTCTGCCTTTTTGCAACTCTATTCCTGAAAATATATTCTATAAAAAAAAAAAAAAAACTTGAAACTATATATAAAAAAATACGGGGGGGGGGAAAATAGAGAATATATAAAATTATAAAGAGAAAAAAAATAAATTTTTATCAACAACATGAAAGACCCAAACTAGGGTTTGTGAAGGAACTGCAGGGGGTTTGTATAAAAAATGTATATATCATAAAATTTTTAAATAAAACTTATATTTAAATTTGATTACAATTTTAAATAATCAAAATAAAACACGTAAACACAAAAAAAAATATTTTGCCTAAAAATTAAGTATTTTACTGACCTGCATGTCATGTGACCGTTAACCGATATCAGAGAATAAATAAGTTATGAATAATTTACTGCCATTGTGTGAATAATATGTAATCATTTAATTAATAAAAGAGTAGCTAGTCTGATTGAGTATTGTAAAATGTCATATAATCTAATTACGAGTACTTAATTTTTTGGATCTGATTATGTGATCCAGATTAATCATACAAACCTCAGCGTATGTGATGTGTTTATTTCTGCAGCATGTTCAAACACAGCAGGAATGAGTTCTCAGTGCTCTGCTCGTCACATTTAACGACCCTGTGTTTGATTGCAGTGCGATGAAGAGAGAGGCGAGCTCTCCGTCGCCTGAGGATGTGATCGTTCTGTCCGACGAGGAGCCCAGTCCGCCGGTGAACGGAGGAAATCACGTCAAAGAGCTGGACACGGATCTGCTGATGGTAAACACGTGACCTCTGACATGAACAACAACACATGACAGTTACACACGTGTGTTACGGGTCGTATTGAACAGAGATTGTGTTTGTGGACATGCAGTTTCTGTGGCAGATTCATGTGTATTTAGTACTTTTCATGTATGGTATATTTTCTGTTGTGTAATATTGTGTGTGTGTGTGTGTGTGTGTGTGTGCAGAGGAGCTCTCCAAAGGAGCGCGAGCGCGTCATCAAGCAGCTGAAGGAGGAGCTGCGTTTAGAGGAGGCCAAACTCATCCTGCTCAAGAAACTCAGACAGAGTCACATACACAAAGACAAAGGCGCACAGAAGGTACAAACACACTCTGCATCAAACTGCAGAATCTCATGTGACGCTGACCTTTAGTAGCACAGCGATGATTTAGTAACATCATTACTGGCTGACCCAGTGTGTATCTGGAGGTCAAACAGTGTGAAAGGACTTAAACTGACCGAGTTAATGATGATCATTCTGTTGTGTCTCGATCAGCCGGCGGCTCCTGTGTCCAGCGCTCCTCCTCCTCTAGTGAAGGGATCTGCTGCTGGGAAAACAGCACAACCTGTGAGTCCATGAAACACACACAAACACTCACTCACTCACTCACTCACACACACACACGCACACACACTCACTCACTCATAC